TTTTTTGCTTGATAGCTATTATGTTTCCAAAGATAGGAAAATAGAAGAAGGTGAACATGTTAAGGTAAGCATAGCCTAGATGGCAAACGGAATGGTTTAACATCATAGAGAAATATTCAATCATTAACGTTACGGATCGTAGAGAGAACGAGGTGACAAAAAGCATGTTCTAATGACATCAATGAGAGTTAAGAAAGATAAAAGAACATTCACAATTCTACAATAATAAATTAAGAACGTACTAGTTGTTCGTTTCTATCTGTAATGACTTTTTCAATAACTTCTTTTAAATCATGAATAATGAAAAATATCATCGTTCTTGAAAACGTACAAAGGGCGTGGGTGGGTGTGATTGTGAGTATTACTCGAAAAACTACTGGCACCCACACCCATACCCTGAGCTACTTTGCAGAATATAATTTTGTAGTTGATTGGGCTTTTACTTTAGTTTTCAATAGAAAATTTGAGAATGAATTTTCATTTTCAAGATTAAACTATGAAAGATAGATTCCATTTAACAATTAAGAATTTCTATTTATTCAATAAATAAGAATTCAAAGTAAACGCTGATATTTAAAGAATAATCTGGACACAGTTGTGTGAAACATACATAATCATGAATAAAAGTTTCTATGAAAGTATATTTTATTGAATAAATCAGGACAATAAAATTGAAAAAATAAAGATGTTTCACGAAAAATGATACTTGTATAACAATGTTCTTCTGATAGATTGATGTGTCGTTGTGAAGTGTGGCTGTGGCTATGGCTGCTACTCGATTGCTCACAACACACTCTCACACCTACACCAACACTTTTTTAAGAACGTTCATCACCAAAGTTATTTCTATTGTTAATATTTCATTTAGAGAAACCTAACGCATTTTTCATATCATTCTAGTTGTTAATCAAGATTCAAAAAGAAGTGAAAATATATTCAAAAAATCAAAGCTCCCGTTGAATTACTTCAAGTAAACATATCTCCAAGAGAATCGGTCCGTCGTACCGTTGATTCAAGTATGGCATGACGAACCAAAGATTGTTATTGGTAATCAATTACATCAAAAAGAGCAATAATAGTTTATAACTCAAGTATCGTTTAATAAAAATCGATATAGTATTAAAAAGCAAAATGGGTATATGATTATTCTCATGAAAGAAAATAATTGAATAATTATTGTATTTAATGATCGAATTGCTTCAATCTCTTTGGAAAAAAAGTATAAATCTTCTAGTAGAAAACAAAATCTTGTCTTCGTCAATATCATTGCAAAATAATGTGTTACCAATATGATAAATATTTTCTATACTATAATTCGATAAAATCAATCGTTTCAGCTAATCTAGTTAATCTTAAAAAATCAAATGCTATTCATCTCATAAATTATCTTGTCTCATCAAATATTTAAACAACTTTTACTTACAACATTAAATGTATTCTTTTTATTAGAAAGAAATTCTATTTCAAATCAAGCTCTCTTTTTCTTCTATCGTACAGCTTGTTTACAAGGTACACATCTACTTTGTTTTTTTTGAAATAAAGTAAATCAGCGAACAGTTGTGCAATTACAATTATTCATTTGTTCTCTGCATCCCATGAATAATCAGGACAAACTAAATTCGTTCTTTTTTTATTTCTTATAAAAATACGGTGTTTTGGGCTTTCATTTTAACTAGCTTCGACATTGTAAAAAAAATTGCAGCAATGCAAACGCCCAGAAACTTGCTGTTTTTTTTTTCGTTCGAAAGAAACATGTTAAGTAAGTGTACAGTGGCTGAACCTTTGCCACTATGTATTAGTCAATCTGGTGAGTTTTTTTTCTATCGAACTCAACCGAAAGTTTTGTGAATCAATCTTCTGAACGAACTATGAATTCAAATTAATATGATCGATATGGAAGACACTTCTCTACTATGCAGAAGTGATGAGCGCATTACCAGAAGCCATAGATCATTGTTAATTTCAAACTGTATTGAGTTTAGGATGATCAATATCTCGACTTCAATATTTACATTGAAAGAGTGTGCAGGTGAATGAGCATATAATTCTACTTCTAAGTTACCAGCATCTCACACTCACACATAAACTTTTAATCAATCTACTTGTGTAAACATGAATGAATTCTCGATTCAAATGTTTTTGTTAACATTCAAAGAATGTTACGCATAATAAATGAAACCTTTTTGTTTTAAGATAAAATATTTTGAGTAAGATCTGGTTTACAAAAAACTATTTGATTATCTATGTCTGCTAATCAAACAATGTTCATATTTATTTATTTATTACTTATATTAAAAATGAATATAATTTATGGATTTGATGCTGGTTTTATAGAATTAATATCATCTCGTCAACAGAATAAAGATACAACACATTATGGCATGACTGTGTGTGCACTTTGTCGTGTAACACTTGACTATTTAAAATCAACATATAATGTAGATACAGCATATTTAGATACAAAATTTGATGAAACTAATGGGCAATGTCAAGAAGATATTGTTCAAAGTATAATAAGTCTATTAAGAACTTCTCAAATGAAAGGTATTAATCCATGGCTTTATTCAGCCACAGTTAAGACAATAGCTTCAGCAAATACAAAAACTGATTTAAAGGAAATGTTTAAAGAAGCAAGTCATTTCGATAGTGAATCATTTATTGGAGGTTCAAAATTAATTATGAAAAGATATCAATCAACATTAGTTGCCATTCTAGAATCTGATAATTATGATCAAGGACGCAAAACATTCGGTGAAATGTTACATACAATACAAGTTAGTATATTTTATTTTATTGACACATTTTATCTCATTTATATATAAATATTTAAAGGATTTTTACAGTCATACAAATTATATTGAACTAGCCTATAATTCACCCAGTGATGTACTTGGTAAAAGAATTTTTGGAGCAAATGAATTTGCATCGGCTGATATGAGAACATGTATTAGTTGTGATGAACAACAATGTCAAATAAATACAAATATCGATCAAAGTGTACTCAAAACGAAATTACTTACAAGTGGCTATTTTATACCATTTGGTTTTAATTTCTTGA